GGTATCACATGTTGGTTTCGTGTCCCACTAGGCGACTCTGGAGCTCAAAACGCGTCTAGAGTTTTGCCGCCTCCGCCGGTCTTCCGGCCCACTATTCGCGGTGGCCCCGACCCGCTGTGACTAGCCGAGCCGCCACCCGACATGGAGCACATGGAGCCAACAATTAGATCAGGGCGCCACTTTGCGACTCGCCCCCCACCCCGCCCCAGCTCGCCCCGCTCGGGGGCTCGATCCATGCGTTCCCCACGTTAAGCACGCGTGGCGCACCACGGCTCGCTCGCAGTGCGCCTATGCTGCGCCGACGCTGCACTGCACCGTTCGACGAACACAATTCAAACCTGGATTGAAAGCGAGCGAGAGAGCGGAAAAGGGGAGGGAGACGTCGGCGGCCAAGTTGTATTGGCACCCCTGGCTTTGTTTTGTAAAAGGATCCGCTGGAAACCGTTTGGGGTTGGCGGCGCTGCACGCGGGGCGCGGGACAGGCCTGGACAGGCCAGGGCCGCTCCATATGCATAGCCATCCTAAAATAATTGAATATGGTAATCCACGCATGCCTGGCAAAACAAGGAATCCCTCAGAAGAAAGCGGCACCGTGACCCCGGCCGGGTCGAGGGACCTTGTTGATCCCCATGTCGACACGACGATTCATGTACCAATTTTTTTTTGTAGTGCATGGTTGACGGCCTCCTGGACGGTCCCTGTTGCGCTGGCGGGGCTGGCGGTTTAAAGCCGCGCCCCGTGCGCCCCGTGCGCCGAAGACCCTCAACCCTGCAACAGGCTTCCCTTTCTTCCGGGGAATGGAGAATGGAATGGCGCGGCGGCCAGCAGACTGAGAGTCGTTTTCGTCGCTCTGTCCCTCTCGCACTCGTAGGGGCGTCCCGTATCGGTGCGAGAGAGACAGAGCGACGAAAACGACTCTCTGTCTGCTGACCGTGAGAGCGAGCGTCAGCACGGGCGCGTCCTCCTCGGTCAGCGTCCAGTCAGCGCGAGTCAGCGCGAGTCAGCGCGAGTCAGCCGGCGTCATTGCGTAAGACAAGCAGATCGATCGCACGAAGGACGCTGGCGCGCGCCGGGACCTTTTCCAAGACCAAGCAAACCGCGAAAACAGACAAAAAAAAAATCCAAAAAACAAGTAAGAAAGTTAAAAAAATCATTTACAGTGACCCACACCCAAAAAATTACCTCTGAGTAGTTAAAAAAAATTAACATTTTTGATTTATATGTTTTTTGTAAATCCAAACTTTTTTTTCCTCGCACGTAAAAAAGTTTTTGTCTGTCAAAATTTTTTTTCTTACAAACAGCAACACAATGAAAAATTAAGAAACTTTTAAAGAAAATTTTTGTGGGTGCTCGTACAGGCCGTACCTTAACCTTCAGCTTGAATTGTCGTCCTGACTTACGCACAGTCCCTGACGACGCATCGCGAAGCGGCCAAGCAGGCCAAGCAGGCCAAGCCACTTGCCGAAAGTTTGCGAAAAGACGCCCGGGTTGCGCTGCTGCGCTGGTGTGCCGCCAGAGCCAGCTCACTCATGAAAGTGGCCCGCCTCACGCCCTCCCGTTCCCCTCCCCCCTCTTCTCCCCCTCCAACCCCTCCCCCTTCCCCTCCTCCCCGTCCCCCGAGTGGAGTTTCCAAAACAGTACCAACGAGTTTGTCTAACCCGAGCCAAGTTTTCCCTTCCCGCCGCGCAAATGGTAAATGAGATGCAAATTTGGGCTTATTTTCCCGCCCGACTTGTCCGTTTTGGCGCGGCGCGTTCGGATTGGCGATTGGGGTGATCTGGAAGCACGTGCCGGCCGTCGGTCGTCTCGCTGTCTCTCTCGCACTCACGGGGCGTCCCGTGCAGGTGCGAGAGGGAGAGAGAGAGAGCAACGAAACGACTCTCGAAATCAGTCTGCTGGCCGCACCCACCTGCCTGCCTTGGCCGCCTGAGCTGCCTTGGCTCCCTGCAGACTGATTCCGAAGATCTTCTTCGTCGCACCTGAACGGGACGCCCCATGAGGGCGACAGAGACAGAGCGACGAAGACGACTCTCGAAATCAGTCTGCTGGCCGCACCCACCTGCCTGCCTTGCCCGCCTGAGCTGCCTTGGCTCCCTGCAGACTGATTCCGAAGATCTTCTTCGTCGCACCTGAACGGGACGCCCCATGAGGGCGACAGAGACAGAGCGACGAAGACGAGTCTCGGAATCAGTCTGCCGGCCGTGCCGGTGAAGTGTCATTGATAGACCGGAGGGGAGGCGCACCCTTCTTCCGGAATGCCAAGGACTCGGGGACTGCTGGGACTCCGGCTCGAGTGTCTGTCGGAATCGGTCGGAACCCGCCGCGCCGCGCCCCGCCCCGCCCTGCCCCGCCCGGTCCACCCCGCCCGCCGCGCTGACCGTTTTACGTTTCCGATTCCAGGCAGGCAGACGGTCGTTCTACTATGTCAGCGCCCGTCAGGCCGTCTCTTCGCAACTCGTCACTCGTTTACTGACTCGATTTCCTCGATGTTCTTTCAATCGTTACTCGCTACTCAGAGTCCGGCATTCGTTACTAGTTACTCATTTGTTACTCGCACTTGTTACTCGTTATAATAATCGTTACTCGGACTCGTTACTCGCACTCGTTACACTCGTGTACTCAAAGTCGTTACTCATGGTCGTTACTCGTTAGTCATAATTCGTTACACATAGTCGCTACTCGTCAGTCATAATCGTTACTCATTGTCGGTACTCTTTACTTATAATCGTTACTCGTTACTCATAGTCGTTACTCGTTACTCATAGTCATTATGCGTTGCTCATAGTCGTTACTCGTTGCTCATAGTCGTTACTCGTCACTCATAGTCATTACTCATTGCTCATTGTCGTTACTCGTTACTCAGAGTCCTTACTCGCAGCCGTTACTCACACTCGTGACTCGTGCCTCATAGTTGTTACTCGCATGCTCATAGTCGTTACTCGCAGTAATTACTCGTTTCGTAACTGAAAGTCGCTATGCTCATAGTCGCTTTTGTTTCGCTACTGGTTACTCACACTCGTTACTCATACTCGTTACTGGCACCAGTCACTCGGTTCCAGGTCGTCCCGCGCTCACCGCTTGCTTGCGTTACTCCCCGACCAAAGTTGTCTGCGAGATTGCCGAGGGGATTGGTCGGGGCTAATAGTGTATCTGTCGATAGCAGGGCACGGTCGCGGAGTCGGGACGCGGTGGGGCTCCTGCAACGGGGACCCCGACGGGGACCCCGACGGGCACCCCGACGGGGCCGCCTGTCATGGGGAACGATTGGAGAGACGTGGCGCAAGGCGGGGAGTGGGCAGAGGCGCGCGCAGACATTTTGAAAGGGAGGTCAAGCCACGCTTTTCGCCTTCACTCTAAAAGTCGTTCTATGATGAAGATTCTCCCTATTATGGTGAAAATTCTCTGTTGGTGCAGCTGACTTTATTACTTGCATTTGAATTTTTTTCACCCTATAGATACTTTGTCGACATTCATTTTTGTATTAGGTAGAAAATCTCGGCCATAATATGTTGCTGCAGCCTTTCACCATAAGACATTTAGAGTGCACCTTCAGGCGGAATGCTTCGTAATTTGCCTACCTTTCAGGAGCCGGTTCGGGGGTGGGTCTCTCCCTCGTCTCTCTCTCTCTCTCTCTCTCTCTCTCTCTCTCTCTCTCTCTCTCTCTCTCTCCCTCTCCCCCCCCTCTCTCTCTCCCCCTCTCTCTCCGCCACTGGGAGTGGACCGAGAGGCCGAGCCGGGCCGAGCGACGCTAGTGCAAGACTTCATTTGGCCGCCAGTCGTTTCACCCCAATTCTCCACATTTCTCGCCAGTGCTCAAGGCCATTCTTGAAGAGAAAACATGACTGGCCGAGGTCCCTGTCCGTCCGCCTGCCTGTCTGTCTGTCTGTCTGTCTGTCTGTCTGCCTGTCTGTCTGTCTGTCTGTCTGTCTGTCTGTTTGTCTGTCTGTCTGTCTGTCTGTCTGCCTGTCCGTCTAGACGCGCAACTTCCTCGCTTTAATATAGCTGGCGCGTCGAGGCACGCTTGCAAAAAGAAGAAAGTCATTTAGGGGAAGAGATGAGGAGTGAGAGAGAAAAGATAACGCCTTTTGATAGCGGCTGGATGAGCCGAGGCCGCTATAGTGCACTGGGGCAACCCATAAAGCGAGCCGGGCAACACAATGTACAGTGGAGTTAACGTACTCCTCGACGGATACAAACTAAATCTCGTACTGTTGAGAAAGAGTTGTCTAAATGGTGTGTCATGAGACGGCACAGTGCATTTAGTTCGGCAACGCGTCGTCCATGCAGAGGACACTGCACCATGAAAAGGCACTACCCGGTTTCGCGGCGTATCCTCCCTGATGTCGATATGGACGCACAGTGGCACTGAAAATCAAATAGTGATACATCTCACCCTTTGAGGGGTGAGACATGACTGTCTCTCCGAAAAACGGTGATACTAAAATGTATCACCGAAAAAATAGTCGTACACGAATGTATCACCGAAAAAAGGTCGTACACAAATGTATCACCGAAAAAGGGTGATACTTCCCGGGGCAAACCAGGGCCAATCTCCCCGATGTCTCATCTTTTTTTCGGTGATACATTTGTGTACGACCTTTTTTTCGGTGATACATGCGTGTATGACCGTTTTTTCGGTGATACATTCGTGTACGACCTATTTTTCGGTGATACATTTTGTATCGCCGAAAATTGGTGAGATGTCTCACCCTTTGAATTACAGTGGGGCCAGAAGACTGGCGCAGGCGGCCGAAACTCTCGACGCGATTTGAGCTCCACCATGGGACTCAAACGGAACGAATGACCGCACCCATGGATTGCTCTCCGAACGAGGAATCCATTGGTGGGGTCACACGTTCAGTTCGAGTCCTGTTCAGTGACCAAACCGCGTGTAGGTTTTTGGCCACCTGCACCGGTCTTCTGGCCCACTAGCCACCGGCAATGCTTCATAATTTTTATGGTGCACCAGCGAATCGCGGCGAGTTTGACAGAGTACTCACAGGCCGCGAAGTCCTGCAGCTGCTGGAACTCTGCAGGGGACAGTTTGTCCCACTGCAGAGCCATCTGCAGAGCCATCGTATCCAGATCAGCAGGGTAGGCGGAGGCGGGCCTCGAACGTCTGCATCGCCATCTGCAAAACAAACAACGCATACCTGTGAGAGGGGGCACAGTGGGGCCAGAAGGCCGGTGGAGGCGGACTAGATTCCAGGCGCGTTTTGAGCTCCAGAGTCGCTGCATGGGACTCAGACCGAACGTGTGACCCCACCAATGGATTGCTCTCCGCGCCAGAAACCCATTGGTGGGGTCACACGTAGGGCTGGGCGGTTTTTATATTTCAATATCAATACCCAATATTTAAAATATTGAAATTTCTCTCAATATCAATATTTGGTATTGATATTGAATATATTGACTGTCAATATAAATATTGAGATATTGAAATATTGAAAAATTGAAAAATTGAAATATTGAAAAATTGAACTATTGAAAAACGCAAATATCGGAAATAGTAGATCGAGTAAAATGAAAGGAATAAGACAAGAAAAGGTAGGAAACGATGATATATCCATATCATACATTGAGAGCAGCCAGGCTCGGACTGGCCCCCAAAAGGCCCCGGCAGATAAGACCGCAAAAGGCCCCCGATCATCATTGTTTTTACCCTTCATGACCAACTTTGTGAGGCTGCCGCTCCCACACAAGTTGTGGTCAACGTCTTCCCTATACAGGGCATGAAAGAGTAGGGTCTTGAGAATACTAGGACGTTGAGGGAGGCCGTTTACGGCAACTAGATTGGACACAGTGGCCGTCCAAAGTCAGCAAAATAAGCAAATTTCCGAGATTCGACCACTTTTTGACCAACTTTGGTCCCAAAATCGTTGCGGTCAAAGGCAAAATCGTTGTGGTCAACGTCTTCCCTATACAGGGCATGAAAGAATAGGGTCTTGAGAATACTAGGACGTTGAGGGAGGCCTTTTACGGCAACTAGATTAGACACAGTGGCCGCCCAAAGTCAGCAAAATCAGCAAATTTCCGAGATTCGGCCACTTTTTGACCAACTTTGGTCCCTAAATCGTTGCGGTCAAAGGCAAAATCGTTGTGGTCAACGTCTTCCCTATACAGGGCATGAAAGAGTAGGGTCTTGAGAATACTAGGACGTTGAGGGAGGCCTTTTACGGCAACTAGATTGGACACAGTGGCCGCCCAAAGTCAGCAAAATCAGCAAATTTCCGAGATTCGGCCACTTTTTGACCAACTTTGGTCCCTAAATCGTTGCGGTCAAAGGCAAAATCGTTGTGGTCAACGTCTTCCCTATACAGGGCATGAAAGAGTAGGGTCTTGAGAATACTAGGACGTTGAGGGAGGCCGTTTACGGCAACTAGATTAGACACAGTGGCCGCCCAAAGTCAGCAAAATCAGCAAATTTCCGAGATTCGGCCACTTTTTGACCAACTTTGGTCCCTAAATCGTTGCGGTCAAAGGCAAAATCGTTGTGGTCAACGTCTTCCCTATACAGGGCATGAAAGAGTAGGGTCTTGAGAATACTAGGACGTTGAGGGAGGCCTTTTACGGCAACTAGATTGGACACAGTGGCCGCCATTCGCACATTTCTTAATGAACCTACGGGACGGGCCAAAGTTGCCGATGTATATCGCTACTTTTCCTGTTATTTCAGTATGGTCCCCTTTAAGATGAGGTTTCATGGGTTCATATGGAATACAAGCAAGTTCTAGAACGGTGGTGAAACAAACAAGGCTAAACAAGCCACATTTGCGTTGAAAAACAGTCGTTTAGCGCTGGATTGACTTCAATATCAGATATTGAAATATTGAGATCAATATCATGTATTGAGATATTGAGACCAATATCAATATCGAATATTGATATTGGTCATTTCAATATGCCGATATTGAAATTTCAATATAAAAAATATTGAAATTGAAGTCAATATATTGAAAAACCGCCCAGCCCTAGTCACACGTTCGGTTCGAGTCCTGTTTGGCGACTCTGGAGCTCAAAACGCGTCTAGAATCTTGGCTGCATCCACCGGTCTGCACGATGTATGGAGAACGAAACCCGGTTTGCGGCATCGGGATCGGGATGGAAAGGCGGTCCGGTGTCATGTTTCAGTGTCGGTGCCGTCGGTGCAGTTGCTGTGGATTGCGCCTCGGGCTCAGCTCAGGTGAGCGCCTGCAAATTTATGCGGATCCACTAAAAGCAGCACGACCCGCCCCGCCACGCCCTACACCTTGGAGCGCCCCGCCCGGCTGGAACGCCTCGGGGTGCCCCCGGGGGAGCACGCCCAAGCACGCCCAAGCACGCCGCACGACGAGGGTGCAGTTACCCGGGTCATTCCTGGCGACGCATGCGCAGCAGCGCAGCCACATTGCACACTGGGAAAGTCTGTCACACTGGAAAGCTCCCGCACGCGTTTTGAGCTCCAGCGAAACACGGCACGCGACTCGAACCAGGCGTGTGACCCCACCAATGGATTGCTCTCCGAACGAGGAATACATTGGTTGGGTCACACGCTCGGTTCGAGTCCTGTTTAGCGACTCTGGAGATCGAAACCCGTCTCGAGTTTTGGCCGCCTCGACCGGCCTCCTGGCCGACTCTGCGCCGCCACACTGTGAAGGGAGTTTCGCGACACGCGCCGAGTCCGAAGTGGCAGCCGTCACTGTAAACCGCACCGCTTTGCTCCGCTTTGCTTCTGCGCCGCCACACTGTGTTTTGGTTTGGCCGTAATTACGCCGCAGCCCTTGAAAGTCTGCTGCAGCAGACTGATTCCGAGAGCCGTTCTCGTCGCTCTGTCTCTCTCGCTCTTACGGGGCGTCCCGTCAGGTTGCGAGAGAGACAGAGTGGCGAAAACGACTCTCGGAATGAGGCGCCCCGGCAACGCGGCAACTTGCCCACCGCACAGTGTGGCGACAGCGCCGAGATTGACCGCGCCCTGCTGCGCCCTTCCACGCCCTTCACGCTCACAGTGGGCCAGAAGACCGGTGGAGGTGGCCTAAAGTACAGACGCGTTTTGAGCTCCAGAGTCGCTAAACGGGACTCGAAACGAGCTTGTGACCCCACCCATGGATTGCTCTCCGAACAAGGAATCCATTGTTGTGGTCACACTCGGATCGAGTCCTGTTTAGCGACCCTGGGGAGCTCAAAACGCGTCCGGGATTTTGACCGTCTCCACAGGTCTGCTGGCCCACTGTGCGCACCCCGTGCCCTTCATCGCGCTCCCTGCTGCGCTCTGTCGCGCCTCTACGTCCGAACTGGCGGCGCCAAAGCCCGGAAGAATGTTTTAGCAACAGGTGGACTCGACCAGCCTGTATGGCGGCGCGGTCAGGCGACAGCCGGGTGTGGCCATGGGGCCACCGAGGTGTCCGGGGACGGCGGGCAGCTGGTGGTGATGGTGGTGGTGGTGGTGGTGAGGGAGGGAGGGTCAGGAACAGGGTGTCACGGGTGTCGCGTTGATGTGATCCAGTGATGCAGGCCGCGGGAGGGGAAAGGGGGAGGGGTGGGGGGCTGCAGCTTGTGGCCAGGAGGGTGCGGCCGCGTGTCGTGTCCGGATCGCGGCGATCAAGCACCCACTTATCAGCAAACAGGACTGCTGCTAATGTGGGGCCGCCAGGAACAGAGAACACGCCACGCCGTGCCGTGCCATGCCGTGCCGTGCCACGCAGTGCCGTGCCACGCCGTGCCGTGCCACGCAGTGCCGTGCCACGCCACGCCGTGCCGAGCCACGCCACGCGCAGCTCCAGAAACTCCAGGCCTGGGGGTCCTGGAGGTTACGGACTGTTACTGTCGGTGGTCCGGGGGCGGGGCGTGTGTGTAATGCGCCCTAAATCCGGCCCCGCCCCGCCCCGCCCGTTGGTCTTGGACTTGTTTGTCTGCGATATTAGCACGCCCCGAATACCTTGGCCGATATTGCTGCCGGGGGACAGGCTGCCAGGCTGCCACGCTGCTGGCCCTGATAGGGACCGTCATCTCATTATCATGATAGAAACGGGATTAAAATAAAGCACGCCTTTCCCCTTTATTTCGTGTTTTGTTCCAAGTTGTTTTCTCTGCGCGTTCGACGCTGCTGCAACGAATGATAATTACTCCAGATTCTCCGGGCCGACGGCGAACGAGGGAGATAAAGAAAAACAAGCAGACATTCGAGACGATCAAACTAAACGAAACAATTGTATTTCATCGCGATCCTTCCGTCCGTTCGTGACGCGTCGCGCTTAGCAGAGTTTCGTGCGGCCGAATATATACAATGTAATATCTACACGGCAAAGTGGGAGGAGGAGGCAAGAGGAGGAGGAGTAAAAGGAGGAGCTTGGTAGCTGGGCAGCTTGGTAGCTGAGCAGCTTGGTAGCGGGGCGTCATGGTAGCGGGACAGCTTGGTAGCTGGGCAGCTTGGTAGCTGGGCAGCTTGGTAGCTGGGCAGCTGTAGCTGGGCAGCTTGGTAGCTGGGCAGCTTGGTAGCGGGGCGTCATGGTAGCGGGACAGCTTGGTAGCGAACGGGCTAGCTTGCAAGTGGGGCAGCTTGGTAGCGGGGCGTCTTGGTAGCGGGGCAGCTTGGTAGCGGGGTAGCTTGGTAGCGGGACGTCTTGGGCAGCTAGGGGCAGCTTGCTAGCGGGGCGGAGGGCGGGATAGTTGGCAGACATGCGCGCGCTTCCCACGGGACCACTCCCGATCGTCCAGCCCATCCAGCCCTCGTCCAGCCCTCTGCGGCCAGATGTATGATACACTTAACTGATCAACAGCCACGAGGCTTGCGTCGCATTTCATCCCCTTGCCGCTCCCCCTCGGGCCTTGCGGGGCCTTGCGGGGCCTTGCTCGCCCCGGCATATTGCGAGTCGGAAATACACGCCTCAGAATTCAAATTGAAACCCCCTCCCGCCGTGTCCGCCACGCGCCGCGTCGTCGGCGGCACTCTTCTTGTAGCGGAGCGGGATCAAGAGATGATAGCGCTCTCGCTGCTCTCGCGGGGCGGGGCACAGTGGGCCAGAAGACCGATGGAGGAGGGCGAAGTCCCGGGCGCGTTTTGAGCTCCAGAGTGGCTAAACAGGACTCGGACCGAGCGTGTGGACCCACCAATGGATTCCTCGTTCGAAGAGCAATCCATTGGTGGGGTCACAC